AGACAGTGTGGCGATTCCTCAAGGACATAGAAATAGAAATTCCATTTGACCCAGCAATCCCATTACTGGGTATATATCCAAAGGATTACAAATCGTTCTACTATAAAGACACATGCACACGAATGTTCACTGCAGCACTGTTTACAATAGCAAAGACCTGGAACCAACCCAAATGCCCATCGAAGATAGACTGGATAGGGAAAATTTGGCACATATACACCATGGAATATTATGCAGCCATCAAAAACGATGAGTTTGTGTCCTTTGTAGGGACATGGATGAACCTGGAAACCATCATTCTCAGCAAACTGACAGAAGAGCAGAAGATCAAACACTGCATGTTCTCACTCATAGGCGGGTGTTGAACAATGAGAACACGTGGACACAGGGAGGGAAGCACTACACACTGGGGTCAGTTGGGGGAAAATAGGGGAGGGACGGTGGGGGGTGGGACTTGGGGGTGAGATAGCAAGGGGAGAAATGCCAGATGTAGGTTATGGGGAGGAAGGCAGCAAATCACACTGCCATGTGTGTTCCTATGCAACAATTTTGCATGTTCTTCACATGTACCCCAAAACCTAAAATGCAATAAAATAAATAAATGGGAAAAAATAAATAAATAAAAATAAAAAAATTAGCCAAGAAAAAAAAAACAATATTAAATATTAATTTAATTACCAACCAAAATAAATCAATATGAATTAATAATTTTAAATATTGAAAATTTAAATATTATCTTCAGACTATATGTAAAAGATGTATAAAAATTAAATTTATGTTTAGATTTGGGTTCCACCCCCCAGATATCTCATTATGTATATGCAAATACCTGAAAAGTTGAAATCTGAAACACTTCTGGATTTTAGATCATGGATATTCAACCTTTACCACATTTTCGTAACGGACACTTAGATTTATTCTGTATCTTGGCTATTGTGATTAATACAGTAACAAATATGGGAATGAAGATACCTTTTGACATAATAATTTCATTTCCTTTGGATCCATACCCAGTAGTAGGATTGCTGGATCATATGAAAATTCTAATTTTAATTGTTTGAAGAACCTCCATACTGTTTTCCATAATGGCAGTACAAATTTACTTTGCCACCAATAGTGTTCAAGATTTCTTTTTCTATACATTTCCTCTAACATTTGCTATGTTTTTTTGTTTTGTTTTATTTTTGTCTCTTTGATAACAAGCATTCTAACAATTGTGAGTTGATATTTCATTGTGGTTTTAATTTGCATTTTCCTGATGATTAGTGATATTGGGGATTCTTTCATATGTCTGCTGGCCATTTGTGTGTCTTCTTTGGAGAAATGACTATCGGGGCCTTTGCTAATTTTTAAATGAGGTTATTTACTTTCTTGCTATTGAGTTATCTGAGTTCCTTACATATTTTGGATATTAAACCCTTATCAGATGTGGGGTTTGCAAATATTTCCTCCCATTTCATAGGTTGTATCTATTGATTGTTTGCTTTGTTGTGGGGAAGCTTTTTCATTTGATGTAATCTCTGTGTCTGTTTTCACTTTTGTTGATTGTGCTTTTGGAGTCAAATCCAGAAAAGAATTACCTAGATAAGTGGCATGAAGCTTTTCTCCTGTTTTCTTCTAGTAGTTTTATGGTTTCACGTCTTACATTTTTGTCTTTAAGCTTTTTGAGCGCTCTCTCTCTCTCTCTCTCTCTCTCTCTCTCTGTGTATATATATATATATGGTGTGAGATAAACTAATTTTATTTTTCTGCATATGGCTATCTAGTTCTTTCAATACCATTTATTGAAGACAGCATCCCTTCACAATTAAATTTTCTTGACATTTTTGTTGAAAATCAGTTGACCATAAATACTTGGGTTTATTTCCAGGATCTGTATTCAGTCCCAGTTGTCTGTGTGTCTGTTTTTACACTAGTACCATGTTTTGATTGCTATTTTGGTGTATATTTTGAGGTCAGGTATTGTAATGCCTCTATACTGGTTTGGCTTCTTGGATTTTTTTGTATTTCCATGGAAAGTTTAGATGTTTTTTTTCCATTTCTGTTCCAAAAAAAAAAAAAAAAGCCTTTGGAATTGTGATAGGGATTGCATTGAATTTGTAGATTTCTTTGGGTGGTATGAAAATTTTAACAATATCTTTCCATTTATTTGTGTCTTCTTCAGTTTCTTTTATCAATATTTTTAGTTTTCAGTGTACAGGCCTTTCAAGTTTTTGGTTAAATTTCTTGTTCCTTATTTTTAAATTTTAAGTTCTGGAATATATGTGCAGGTTTGTTACATAGGTATACATGTGCCATGGTGGTTTGCTGCACCTATCAACCTGTTATCTAGGTTTTAAGCCTCACATGCATTAGGTATTTGTCCTAATGATCCCCCTCCCCTCATTCCCCTCCCCCCGATAGGCTCTGGTGTGTGATGTTCCCCTCCCTGTGTCCATATGCTCTCATTGTTCAACTGCCATTTAAAAGTGAGAACATGTGATGTCTGGTTTTCTGTTCCTGTGTTTGCTGAGAATGACAGACCTTCATCCATATCTCTGCAAAGGACATGAACTAATTCTTTTATATGGCTGCATAGTATTCCATGGTATATATGTGCCACATTTTCTTTATTCATTCTGCCATTAATGGGCATTTAGTTTGGTTCCAAGTCTTTGCTATTTTAAATTGTGCTGCAGTAAACATATTTGTGCATGTTTCTTTTTTGTAAAATGGTTTATTAACTTTTGATATACATCCAGTAATGGGATTGCTGGTCAAATAGTATTTCTGGTTCTAGGTCCTTGAGGGATTGCCATACTGTCTTCCACAATGGTTGAACTTATTTACCTTCCCACCAACAATGTAAAAGTGTTCTTATTTCTCCACAGTTTTGCCAGCATCTGTTGTTTCCTGACTTTTTAATAATTGCCATTCTGACTGACGTGAGATGGTATCATTGTGATTTTGATTTGCATTTCTCTGATGATCAGTGATATTTAGCTTTTTTTCACGTTTGTTGGCCACATAAATGTCGTCTTTTGTGAAATGTCTGTTCATACCCTTTGCCCACTTTTTGATTAGGTTGTTTTATTTCTTGAAAATACGTTTAAGTTCTTTGTAAATTCTGGATGTTGGACCTTTGTCAGATGGGAAGATTGTAAAAATTTTCTTCCATTCTGTAGGTTGCCTGTTCACTCTGATGATAGTTTCTTTTGCTGTGCAGGGATTGTTTTCTTGATTTCTTTTTCAGATAGTTGTAAGTGTATAGAAATAGTAATGATTTTTGTATGTTGATTTTGTGTCCTGCAGCTTTACTGAGTTTGTTTACTAGCTCTGATGATTCATTCGTGGATCCTTTAGAGTTTCTGAAATAAGATCATGCCTACAAACAGAGGCAATTTAGCTTACGTCTTTATGATTTGGAAGACTTTTATTTCTTTCTCTTGCCTAATTGCTCTGGCTAGAACTTCCAGTACAATTTTAGTACCATGGAAAGTTTATACCCATTTTCACACTGGTGAAAATGGGTATAATGTCTTTTTGAGGAAGAAGACATTGTCTCTCAACTCATGAGAGTCACATTTTATTAAGCACTCAAGTGTTGTCATTCCTGCTCGACAGTAGGCCATATTCTAACAGAGGTCACAGCATAACTTGCCTTTTGGTTAATCAGTTGGAACCAGTTTGCCAATTTGTTAAAATAAACTTTGCATTGGTATTACTAGAAATCTGGTTTAATTATACTTATTTATTAATAATAAATATGTTTATTAATTCTTACATAGGTACCTAATAAAAATTATGATTTTAATGATCTCTTGGTTGATAATGGCTAAGCTGCCTCAGCCTCTCCAATTTAGCAACCCAAATATGTATCAGTTCAAAGTGACAAATTAAAGCAATTATATATGATCACATAGGAATGCTTCTAATTAACAAAATCCAGAGGACTGGCCTTTGCCTTGATAACTGGAACACACTGCATCCATGCTTTCACAGCTCTCAGCCATTATTGGACTTCCTTGTCATATTCTTTCATTCAAGAAAAACTGTAGCCTCATTCATTCTATTCTTAATAATTTTAAATTCTCTTTAGCCTCCTGGGAATGAGAGGGGCTAACTGGTATTTTTCCCTGTATCTCAGATTTCAGTCACACATAAAAATTAAAGGGGCCTGACTTGGGGAGCTCTTTGCCTCCGTAGACTGGTGGGGAAAATACTGGTGTGTCTTAAATTATTCTAATGATCATGAAAATCAGAATCTTCATACGTGGGAAACACCATGGAATTAAACCTTTTCTTCAATGTAGGAGACATTTGTCAGATAATAGAGGAAATTCTTATTAGGCTAAGAGCTTACTTCTAATATTCATTAAATATATTTAGAGTATATCTTTTGCAGTTTATAGTTATTTTGTAATTTTTCTCAGTTATGGTTTGGGTTATTTTCTTTTTTATTTATATTTGCATTTGTTTCTGTTCTCGAGAGGCACCCTTTTGCTGTTGATCCTCATTTTGATATAGAAGCTAAAAACCCATTCATTAGGGTTGGATGGAGTGAGCTTTGATACAGCTAGCATTTGGAAGGTAGAATATAGACATCCATAATTTAAAAAAGCTGTAAGCAGATACTATAAACTATTTTTGAATTTCTAAGTTAACAATCAACAAATAATTGTGCAGACATTTGATATGCATCTATACTGTGAATGAGAACTTAAACTTCAACTAATATTTTCATTAACTTTTCTGATTATAAATTTTCATTTTTCATCTCAACATTGCAGAATGACATCTATATAAAATAAGAGCAAATGTTAATTTAAACACATTCTACCCTGATAGTGCATGTTTTAAAATTGCTTTGGCAGGATCTACCAATGTATTGGCACATTCTCTTCATGGAGTTCCTCATGTGGTAACTGCAACATTGCACATTATAATGGGTAAGAATTCTTCCAAAGGAGTTCATATTTTAAAAGCAAATTTTGATTTATGTAAGGAAGGCTATCTTATTTCCATCAGACTTTAAAGAAAGGCAGGTTCTTTGTCTCTGAAAGTAGAGAAATGTTTGACTAAAAAACCAAAAGGCAATGCTTTACTATTTGGACAGCCTATCTTTTCAAAATACTTGCCTTGTAAAGAGTAGTAAATGAAGTTTTACTGCAATCTCTATAGAAAAAAATATTGTAGTGATGCTCAAAATAATGATTTTATAACTAGATTAAGAAAATTAATGCATACTCCTTAAGTATATCCAACACTGATGTCGGATTTACCAAGACTCTAAGACTAGGATTATGGTATAAATGAAAAAACATACAGAAAAATAATTTCAGCCAGTATGTGTCTGTAGATATTTTATTATCCCAATTGGTATAAAATGTATAAGCTCAGGTATATGTAATGCCAAACTACTGTTAAATCTAAGTTTACTTTGCCCATCTACTTCAACTTCATTTATTTGACCATGTTTTATAGGAAATAGCAATAAGCTGAAAAATTTACTACTCTGACTTGTTTTACTAATACCTGAACAAGTTAAAAATGGCAATTTATGTAGTTATAGGTAAAGGGAGCTGAAGAGAAAGTGAGGATGTCCATGGTCTACAGTACCTTGAGATATTCTCCTATAAGTCAATAAATATGCTCTCTTATGTTTGCTGTTTTGATACAAGTCCTACTGTACTCACTAATATTTAATATAATATTCAAGGGCATGTACAGCTGGTCGATGTCTGCACCTTCAGCTCCACTGGAAAGCTTCTTCGCTTTGGGTTCTCAGCCATGTTTGGCTTTGGCGGAAGAGCTTTGGCTCTGGCAGAAAAATATCGATGGATGTCCCCTAACCAAAGGAGAGATTTTGCTGTCATTAAGGCACTGGCAAAACTTAAGTAAGTCTTTTTCTTAAACCAAAAATTTTGTATCCCAGAGTCAATGACTGTTAATAGTAAATTTCATTATATTTTAGGCCAGAAGACTGTGAAATATCATTTTTACCATTTAACACCTCTGATGATGTGCAAGAAAGGTAAGTAAAAACTCAGTGTAATACAGATAACCTATATCTTTCTTTAAAACATAAAACATTCTGACATAAACAATTGATCAGACTTAGGATCTTTGATTATTTTTCTAACACGGTACTAAGGAATATAGAATTATAGACTCCTACGGATCCTAGTAAGCAAACAACCACTCATCAGCCTTTTTCTCTTTTCCCTCCCTCCCTCTTTTTCTTTCCTTTCTTCCTTCCTTTTCTTTTCCTTTTTTTTTCTTTACTCTCCTTTTCCCTTTTCTGTTTTCCTTTCCCCTTCCTTTCACTGTTTATTGAGTGACTACTATATGCCAGGCACTCTGGATACAACAATGCACCAAAAAATGAACAAAACACACAGTTTCGTCCCTCATGAGAGTTTTGGTCTAGTGTGTAATACAAATATTAAAGCTATATTTAAAAAAGGGTTATAATCTTTAAAGAAATAGAAAATTATTGTTCCTCATAATACTAGTTTACCTTTAAAATAATCAACGCATTATAATGTTGGCAGCAACAAAATTGTACACATAGTTTTACTATCTAATTAAGAAAGTAATATATGTAATGATGGGTTCTCTGATTTTCTCATATTTAATAGATTTGTGTGTGTGTGTTACCTGTTTTGTGTTTGTTTTGTTTTGTTACTTTTAGGAGGGAACAGGGATCTCCCAAATGTGGTGAGTCCAAAAGCATCTCCTTGAGAACTATACCAGGTTCTGTTGACATTTTGCTCTGGTGAGGGAAAATAACCAGTCACTTCCATTACCTTTAGACTGTAATGATCAGTGGCAAATGATCCAGGGTCAGTTCTTGAATGTCAGCATTATGGCAATTCCTTGCCTGTGTTCAGTGGCACCTAGAGGCTTGGCACCAAATACCAGGTAAGTAAGCATTTTTATTGAATCATTGATACTTTTCTTATAAATCAATTTTTTTCCAGTATACCCGACTAACTGTTGGTTAGCTAGAAACTTAACAGGTGGTTTCTCTTTGTATATTAGAGATTCTAAGGGATTTGTCACAGTAGGTTGAGAAGAACTGTTGAACTGGAATAATTAGCAGATGAGCATTGACTATTTAAGGTCACTGAGGATAAAATAATATTTTCTAGGTTTTATTGACAGAATTTTATCATATGCCTACTTTGCTTGATTTATTCATTTAGTTGTTGAGGACATTATATTAAATACTGAATTTTTGTGACTGCCTTTGCTTTCCAACTTTAATGCAAACATAAATATCCTTAGCATGAAAAGCCCACATATGTATATTTGATACTGCATTAGTCTGTTTTCATGCTGCTTATACAGACATACCCAAGACTGGGTAATTTACAAAAGAAAGAGGTTTAATGGACTTACAGTTCCACGATGCTGGGGAGGCCCCACAATCATGGTAGAAGATGAAACTCACATCTCACATGGAGGCAGATAAGAAAAGAGAGCTTGTGTAGGGAAACTCCTGTTTTTAAAACCACTGGATCTCATGAGACTTACTCATTATCATGAGAACAGCACAGAAAAGACCCACCCCCATGATTCAATTATCTCCCACGGTGTCTCTCCCACAACACATGAGAATTATAGGAGCAATAAGATGAGATTTGGATGGGGACACAAAGCCAAACCATATCAGATACTTTTAGTTAAAGAAAACATTTCAGTTCTATTTAATGTGAATAGTAGTGCACATCAATCTCCTGCCCACATTTTCAATTGAATGAAATATAAGACATATGTATAATTTTATCCACAGGATATAGGCATTCTTTGTCTTACACATTCTCCTTAAACAGCTGTCCATTATGGGGCTGAAAATATTTCTTTCCTAAATCCAATCCTGTAGAGCATAGGAGAAAGGATTATGAATGTTGTGAAATATAGTCAGTAAACAGGGAAATACTCAAGTCAGGGAAGAAAAAAGAGAAATTACAAACTTGGATATTGAAAACCTGGATGGCAAGGTCCTCATTAATTATATCTAGTGCTAAAGCTTGTCAGGAGTATTTTGTATCTTGTGTGACTTAGAAATTGAGCCTGGTAGTTTCCCCACACACCCTCAGAAATCCCAGATAGCTGTGCGCTGTCCTAAAGTAGTTTCCCTGACTAAACTTGAAGACTTTGCTAGCTGACCAAGCAATGGATATCTAACCCCATTTGCTCAAGGACCTTCTTGAGAGCATAGTACTACTTTTCTGGGAGCAATTGATTCATAGCTCCTTCAAAGCCACTCATAAATGTTCAGCTTGACTGGAATTCCACTGTTGACTCTCCAGGCTTAATTGGTATTGTTGAATTTTTCAGAGAAGGATGACTAATTAGAGATTTTCTTATGTGGTTTATAATCACAACATGCCATCTTTACAAAGGCCTATAGATCAAGCCTCAGTTGACCAGAGATTTTTCAGAAATGGAACTTCTGATGAATCAGGATGATTGAACAGGAGACTTCATTTTCTGCTTTTTTCTGCACCATGATAAATAATAATTTATGTTAAAATATCTCAATGCAAGTTGCTGATAGGAACTAATATTTTTATATTCTATGTATTCTAAGATTCAATGTGTTCATATATGTGAAACATTTAACACAGTGCCAGCCATGTAAGTTGTGTTTCTATTTTAAGTAAATATTGCAAAGCAGGCATAGGATAATGCTTTTAATGTTTATAAAATTATGCAATTAAAAAAATAAAGGATGCACAGTAACGCTACCATGAATATTTTGGTGCTATTTATTTTTAATTGGGAGGAAGAGGCACGATGGAAAGACTAGTGAGCAGAGTATTGGTGCTGATGACCATTTTGTTTTTCTCTGTGTGCCTTTGAACAAATCACTTAAACTTGGAGTTGTCTTTTCCTTCTGTGTGAAATGAGTGAATGATGAGATAATCTCTAAAGTCCCTTATAGCTCTAACCTGAGCTTCCATAAGATACCAAGAGCTCTTTCTTGTGTTGTTGTTATTCTTAGATTAACTTCATGTTTGCAATGAAATCAAGCTAGAAGTCATTTGTATGTATTTCTGCAAACTGCCTTCTATAGCTCAATGCATTTGTGAGTGGCTGTTTTGGCACTAAATTACACCTCTGAATTTTCAGTCTCTTATACTGGTTGGAACAGTTATGCAAGATTAAAATGTTCAGTCATTTAACTGAACATGTGTGGCAGCATTTGTTCACTCCATGTCATCCATCCAAAGGCCACTTTGATTTATTTCATTTCCTATGTCATTTGGACCTTCTGTCTATAAATAAATATTTAAATCACACTTTAGATTTTAGAAAATGTTGAGCTATTTGTTACGCCACTTGTGCATATTAACTATTCTATAATACATCTTTTAATAACAGTTTCATATTTAGAATTTCTAATTACATTGAATTTTAAATTATGTCTTGATATGTGAGTAGGATGCATGATGGTTTGTTTTGTAAAATGCTCTAATGTGGGAGTGTATTGAGAAGGAAGCCAGTGATTTAATAAAACTCATTTGAAAGGCTGCATCATTTAAAAAATAATAGCAAGATACAGTTTATGAATTTCAGGTAAATGAAACATGGTGATGATTTATCTATCCTGTCCAGTACTTTTATATAAGAAACAGTACGTCATAATTTTTGGTATACTATCTTATTAAACTTCTTATTGTCTAATACAAACATTTAATTTCAGGTTAAATAATGGAAGTATGGCTCTTATAATTGCCCAAAACACTTCTCGGTCAGAATTTATAAAACACCTGAAAAGATATGCCAGTGTAAAAAATCAGGTATAGTAAATTCTTTTTGTTACTTATTCGCAAAGCTATTAATCATGGGGGGGGGGGAGAGAGAGAGAGATGCTGCAAGAGTTGACATCGAGTCCTGCCTCATAAGAAGACCTTATTTTCTGCTGAATATATTAATCTTTTTTTCTGATCTGTTTCATCCAAATTTTGAAAAGCATATACCGGTACTAATATGGATTGCCCCTTTACGAACGATGCGTTAGTGGTTATGTTAGTGGTGATGTATATGTAACCACAAAGATAAAATTGAAAATGTAGTGTTATGTTGCAATGTGAAATAAATTATGGATAAAATTACATACTCAGGCCATTCTTCAGAATGAAAAGTGAAATTTGAGAGTTTAGCCTTCTTGATATTATGGCGGCAGACTCTCTAAAGTTACAATCTTTAGATTTTCCTGGCATCTGTTTGCATATCTGCCTATGCTCATTGATTGAAATAGATTTTATGTATTTAAAAATGTAACCCTTTTATACTGATATTTATTTACAATGAGAATGTGTGAAGATATATATTTCTTTTTTTTTTTTTTTTTTAGACGGAGTTTCGCTTCTTGTTACCCAGGCTGGAGTGCAATGGCGCGATCTCGGCTCACCGCAACCTCCGCCTCCCGGGTTCAGGCAATTCTCCTGCCTCAGCCTCCTGAGTAGCTGGGATTACAGGCACACACCACCATGCCCAGCTAATTTTTTGTATTTTTAGTAGAGACGGGGTTTCACCATGTTGACCAGGATGGTCTCGATCTCTTGACCTCGTGATCCACCCGCCTCGGCTTCCCAAAGTGCTGGGATTACAGGCTTGAGCCACCGCGCCCGGCCTAAAGATACATATTTCTAATTAAATGATTTGCTTTAAAGAGAAACAAACAGTAACTATTACAAGCCATATAATTTTGGCAGACATTTTGACCTATTAGGAAAATGATCCTAGAAATATGTGAATTTCTGAAATTGTGAGTCTTTGAAGTACATGGGTATGGTTGTAAAACCCTATAGTTTCACACATTCTTAGAGGTTTTAAATGGTGCTTGGATGTAGTTGGGAGAGAACAGATGGGAGGAGGAGGAGAGTAAACTCAGCCAATGACTGGCAGCTGAACCTTGCTTATGTACCTTAGCCATTGCAAGGCTCTCCATTTTTGCCTCATTATAATTTCAGACTTTCTTAGGCCATTCTTAAGAAGTTTGATCTGTCTATAACATTATTTGATCCTCATGTATTGAACAACTAACTAGGCTGTTTAGGAACTTAAATCATAAAAAAAAAATTAGATACAGTCTCACTTTCCTTATATGTCAGAGTAGATCAGCAGATATAATGTAGGTTGTGAGCCTATATAACGACTTTATGTGTGTTTGGGGGGAATATGGAGATTTATTATTTTTCAAAGGAATATATACCTTTTTATATTTTACTAAATTTCTAAACATTAAAGCCAATTTTTTAAACACCCAAAGCAGTATATATTCATTGCTGTTTTTAAGGCAGAAAACAGAAACAAGAAAATAATTTAAAGCACTCAAAATTCCGTGTTCCTTGAGATAAGTATCATTACCTTCGTAGAATTTTTTTTCTGAATCCTTTTCTATTAAATGAGAAGTTCAGTGAGTATTAACCTCATTAATATACCCCTATTTGAGAACTTAAGTGAGTATTAACCCATTAATGTATCCCTGAGAAATTATGTTAGGGAGGTGTGTGTTGCACAAATTGTTTATGGAAGGTCTCTTTTGAAATTGCCCATGGGGCAAGTTTCTTTTGTAAACCTTCTTTTTTTTTTTTTTTTCTTTTTAAAGTTAATATACCTTTCTTCTGATTTTAAAAGCAATGATTACCTTAAACATAAGGACAGATATACAGAAAATAACAAAAATCTGTATCAATAAGAAGATGTTTTCTAGGCCAGGCACGGTGGCTCATGCCTGTAATCCCAGCACTTTGGGACACCAAGGTGGGCAGATCATGAGGTCAAGAGATCGAGAACAACCTGGTCAACATGGTGAAACCCAGTCTCTACTAAAAAATACAAAAATTAGCTGGACGTGCTGGCACGTGCGTGTAGTCCTAGCTACTTGGGAGGCAGAGGCAGGAGAATCACCTGAACCCGGGTTGTGGAGGCGGCAGTGAGCAGAAATGGTGCCATTGTACTCCAGCCTGGTGACAGAGTGAGACTCTGTCTCAAAAAATAAAAAGAAAAAAGAAAATGTCTTCTAAAAGAGATAATGTTATACAGGATATATCATATTTTCTCATATAGTCTACCAGGCATATCTTGCTTTTGATACAAGAAACTGTTGCCCGTGTGAGATTCACTAGCCTTAACTCTGATTTATCAACTTTCAAAAAGTAAAATCCATATTGCTTTTATTTTTTGCAAATAAAAATTCTAAAATATTTTGTATAGTGTATATAGTAAGAATAATCAGATTGATTTCCAGGGAGACTGTTTTCAAGCAATGTTAATTTGATTCATTAGTTATCCACACAAATGTGTGTATTTAGGCTCTTTCCTTCATGGTGACATTAAAAATGTGAATTTATATTTGTAAGATTATGACAAACATATCTATGTAAAATCATATCTACTGCATAATTTGTAGCAGCGCTGCTATTCTGAAAGGGAAATGTGGCAATTCAGTTTAGGGAGGGTAACATCTGTTTCTCTGAACCATGTTTACCAGGTTGAATAAGTGAATGTTACTGTATAACACTGTAAAACAGGTTGAAACCGCCATGTCCGGGGTGGCTCCTGCTGCCTTCTTCATCTCTGTGTGAAATTAGATAGAGGGTGAACACTATCCTTCAGAGTCCTCGCTCCATCCTATTGCTTTGCCCACCCTCACTGTCCACACTTTTCGTTTTCATTGTGACCGTTTTTGGTAGGGAGTTTAAAACCTTAAATGTGAGTGCTTCCCAGGGATTTGTTTGCAGCCCCCTTGTCTTCTCAGGATACCCTCTCCTGGATGGTCTCATTGCCCCTCACTTTTGAACTATCTAAGCATCATGTACAGCTAGTGCTCGACTTACGACCATGATTGGGACCGGCAGACTGGTCGTAACACGATTTGGTCGTAAGTTGAGTACGCTATATGTACAGTTGAAATGGTGCACGCGGAGATGGTAGTGCTGCCGGAAGCTGGTCCGCACCGTTGTACGCCTAACTGGGCAACGTTTGCTCTGCCAGACGCGGAGCAGTCGTGGCTAGTGATTGTGGTTGTAAAGTCGAATGGTCATAAGTTGCATAGGTTGTAAGTCGATCAATACCTGTACTCTCAAGGGTTCTGTCATCTTGTCTTATCTGCAGGACCTCTTTGGCTTCCTGTATGCCACAGAGGTTCTAAAACTCACTGGCACCTTGAGGCCAACGTGTCCACAGCTGACATTTTCCCCTACCATTGCCCCTTCTGTGTTGCTCTGTATGGGTTAGTGGCACCAGCTTCTACCCATCCAGGTCACCCTGGACTCCTCCCTCTTCTTCATTCCTCACTACCAGTCCCCTAACTTGTTCTATTGGTCTCTTCATAAATGTTTCTAAAATTTCTCTCTCACCTTGATTCAAACTTTAATCCTTTCTTGCAGTAGATGCCTTTTGGCCTTCAGGTTCACTGGTCTTGTCTTCTATACCTCCTTTTAGAGAAACTTTTCTAAGACATACATTGGATTTCTCTTCTGCTTAATTCTTCACTGCCTTTCTCTTATTGACAGAACAATATGGAATTTTCTCAGTCTGGAACACGGGGCCTTTGTATTAAGGTCCCTGTCTGTGTTGCAACCCCACCTCTTATTACCACTCTCCACCACATTCCCAGTGTTTTGGCATTGTATTCATTGGCTAGGGTTGCCATAACAAATACGACAGAAAAGATGGCTTAAACAACAGAAATGTATTTCTTTCATGGCTCTGGAGGCCAGAGCTGCAAGATGATGGCCGCAGGTTTGGTTTCTCCCGAGTCTTCTCTCTCTGGCTGGCACATGGCTGCTTTCTCACTGCACCCACAAGTGAGTGGTCTTTCCTCTGTGCATCCCCGATGCCTTTTTCTATGTCCAAATTTCCTCTTGTTATAAGGACACCTATCATTAGGTGAGGGCCTAAAGACATCATTTTAGCTTAATCACCTCTTTAAACATCTTATCTCCAAATACAGTTACATTCGGAGGCATAGAGGGTAAGGATTTCAACACAGGAACTTGAGGGCCAAGGGGCATGATTCACGCATAGGAGTCACACTGAATTCTGTGTAGTTGCTTGACTATGGCATGCCTCTCATTTTGTAAATGCTTTGTCTCTTCAGACTTTCTTCTCTAGGCTAAATCTTCCATGTTCTTTAACACTCAATTCAAATGGAAAGTTTTCCCAACATCCGGAGCCTGTTTGCTTGTTTCCTGCATTGAACACGCTTGCACCATCACAGCACTTCCCTGTTTCACAATTGGAACTGTTTACTTCTCCTCCCCATGCCCCAAACATACCCTCACACTTGATGCTAAACTGTTGGCTCCCTAAAGTCCCACTTAACAATGTCTGTAGCTTCACAGTTAAAGCATTTGAAGGATGGCTAGACCTTCGTTTTGTGAGGTGTGCACATGACAACTGCTGATTTAAGATAACAGACTTACTGGTGATGGCTGTCTGTCAGTTCTTGGCATTGCTTGGCTTGCAGCTGCATCACTCCAGTCTCTGCCATCTTGGCACTCTTCTCTCTTAAGGACATCAGTCATAGTGGGTTAGGGCCCACCCTAATGACTTCATCTTCATATATCTGCAAAGACCTTACTTCTAAACAGGTGACATTCACACTTACCAGGGGTTAGGACTTGAACATAGTTTGGGGGGAATATAATTTAGCCCATAACAGCCAGTTGTTAACACATATTTAAAACACAATCTCTAACATGAATGATTATGCAGATGATTCTACAAGGATGAGGCATGTAGCCACTGCTTTACACTGGAGGTGGGAGGCCTAATGCAGTAATTGTCAAACAGTTTTGCTTGGGGCCCTCTAATTCAGTACCTCAGTCACAACAGCTGATGTGATCAGATCATCTACCATTTAACTGTGTTTACTATACAGTATAAACTGGAAAGTCTGTTGGACCTTGATATCTACATATGTAAAATATGGGTATTGGGAAAAATATTAGGTTTCTGTCAACTTTTAAAACTATGTGTTTCATTGAGGTTTATAAGTGGAAAAGGGGGAAAAGGTATGCAGATGATATTTAATTAGGAATATATCTCCTGTCATTTATCTGAAAACTGAAATGAGTATTTCCACTAAAGTGATTTGGTTATATTTTGTTTCAGAAAATCATAGTGGTTTTTCAGTATAGTTTCCTTAGGCAAACAAGAAAAAAATGCAAGTTGAAGTTTACCTTGCACCATTCTATAGTGATCAGTAAGTAAACAGTGATCTTGCAACTTGTGTTCATTGTTAAGTAGGAATAGGCCAAGTAAACAGCTGTTAAAATCCATATTTGATTGGCTTTCTCTTTTATTTTTTATTTTTTTTAACTGCATTTTAGGTTTTGCGGTACATGTGAAGAACGTGCAAGATTGTTACATAGGTACACACATGGCAGTGTGATTTGCTGCCTTCTTCCCCATCACCTATAACTGGCATTTCTCCCCATGCTATCTCTCCCCAACTCCCAATCCCCCGCTGTCCCGCCCCTATTTCCCCCTCCCCTATTTCCCCCTGACAGACCCCAGTGTGTAATGCTCCCCTCCCTGTGTCCATGTGTTCTCATTGTTCAACACCCGCCTATGAGTGAAAACATGCGGTGTTTGATTTTCTGTTCTTGTGTCACTTTGATGAGAATGATGATTTCCAGGTTCATCCATGTCCCTACAAAGGACATGAACTCATTGTTTTTGATGGCTGCATAGTATTCCATGGTGTATATGTGCCACATTTTCCCTGTCCAGTCTATCATTGATGGGCATTTGGGTTGCTTCCAGGTCTTTGCTATTGTAAACAGTGCTGCAGCGAACATTCGTGTGCATGTGTCATTATAGTAGAATGATTTATAATCTTTTGGATATATACCCAGTAATAGGATTGCTGGGTCAAATGGAATTTCTATTTCTAGGTCCTTGAGGCATTGCCACACTGTCTTCCACAATGGTTGAAGTAATTTACACTCCCACCAAGAGTGTAAAAGTGTTTCTATTTCTCCACATCCTCTCTAGCATCTGTTGTCTCCAGATTTTTTAATGATCACCATTCTAACTGGCATGAGATGGTATCTCAATGTAGTTTTGATTTGCATTTCTCTGATGACCAGTGATGATGAGCATTTTTTCATATGTTTGTTGGTCTCATCAATGTCTTCTTTTGTAATGTGTCTGTTTGTATCCTTTGCCCACTTTTGAATGAGCTTGCTTTTCCTCTTGTAAATCTGTTTTAGTTCTTTGTAGATTCTGGATATCAGCCCTTTGTCAGATGGGTAGATTGCAAAACTTTTTTCACATTCTGTTGCTTGCCGATTCACTCTAATGACTGTTTCTTTTGCTGTGCAGAAGCTGTGGAGTTTGATTAGGTCCCACTTGCCTATTTTGGCTTTTGTTGCCAATGCTTTTGGTGTTTTGGTCATGAAGTCCTTGCCTACACCTATGTCCTGAATGGTTTTGCCTAGATTTTCTTCTACGGTTTTTATGGTGTTAGGTCTTATGTTTAAGTCTTTAATCCATCTGGAGTTAATTTTAGTGTAAGGTGTCAGGAAGGGGTCCAGTTTCTGCTTTCTGCACATGGCTGCCAGTTTTCCCAACAACACCATTTATTAAACAGGGAATCCTTTCCCCATTGCTTGTTTTTGTCAAAGATCAGATGGTTGTAGATGTGTCGTGTTGCCTCCGAGGCCTCTATTCTGTTCCATTCTCTTTTAAAATAAGATGTACTTCCAATTTTATCATCTTCAGAAGTTTACACCTGCGTTCTTCCAAATTAAATTCCAAGTGTGAAACTTGCATTAGTTTGCTTTATGTTGGCTAAACTAATTGACAAATTGAAAACTCTACAGATTATGCCTTCTGTATCTACAGGCCATTATTAAAGATGATCTTTAATTGAAAAACCTACAATATCATTATTATATGCAACTTCTTATAGATCTCCACTTTTTTTGGAAGACAAATCTTGTTTTCTGACAAATACTTGTCATAAAAGATTTCTAGATGCTAGATCTAAAAGAAGCCAAAAGACTTCGGATAAGAGATTCGTTCTTTCAAAGAAAGTAGAGATCCCTGTTCATAGTCTCAAAGCTATAAAAATGTCAGCATGCATGTTCATATTTATTTGTGAGAGAGGGTGCAGTGAGCTTCGATTTGTCTTAGTAGCTAGAGATAAAGCAAGTATCATGATTATTTGTATTTATTTTTAGTTTAATTTTCCATTTGTTGAGACTTACACTGTTGAGGAAGTAAAAGTTCATCCAAGAAACAATACCAGTGGATATAATCCAGAGGAGGAGGATGAAACTGCTTCAGAAAATGGGTTCCCTTGGAATGTAGATGGCGATTTAATGGAAGTTTCATCAGAGGTCCATATTAGGTAAGTCTAATTATTTCACTGCTTTATATGTCAACCAGTAAACGTAAATCGTTTGGTACAATGAAAGCTCTCCTCAATTATCAAAGCAGGCAGTTGGTTGGTTTTTTAAAACATCAGAAGATCAGGGAAGCATAAAAAGAGACATGCACAAATTTCAATTAAAAAAAGTAACTTTACATTTATTCACCAATTGTCATGTAGAGCCAAGGCATTTGTTTTGATTATGTGTCTCTAAATTGGCTTTCTGACTTTTTATTGTACATAAACTATAATGTCTGTAACTTCCATTTTAGATTTTTAAAAATGAATCAAGATCTTAAACCTTTTAGTGGAGCCATCTTAGTAGAGTGTTAGATTTTAATCCTTCAGTCTTGTAGTTTCCTCTCACTCAATTACTGTAACACTTTTTGTTCAGAAATTTGCTTTTATTAGGTGTTTATGAAGAATTCAACTTCCCTTACATAGGAACAGTTTTACATATTAATGAGCAACTGGTATAAACAGGTTTAGGAACCTGCAGACTCATCCTTGGTAGGTATTATTTTACAGAGGCAGTGGAGAACATTAGACAATCAAGGAAGTCAGCTAAGGACGCTTTAAAGTAATTACTGCTGTTGATTTATTAGAGCCTCTCAGTTTTCTAGATTACAGCTCTGTCATGAATTCTATGTTTTTTATCAATTTGTATTTGGCATAGTATAACAAATAAGTTGATGAAATAATGAATTATACATATTTTCTTTATAGATTGCATCCAAGACTTATCAGTCTTTATGGAGGAAGCATGGAAGAAGTAAATGATTCCAAAGTCACCTGTAATTGTTTCTAAAGGTAACGTGCAAACTAGAAGTTTAATATCAAGAAATATGGCCATTCTTTAAACCTGTGGTCCTCACCCTTTTTGATACCAGGGAATGGTTTCAGTATGAAACTGTTCCACCTCAGATCATCAGGCATTAGATTCCTATAAGGAATATGGCACCCTAGATCCCTCACAAACCAGTTCACAATAGTATTCACACACCTATGAGAATCTAATGCTGCTGCTGCTCTGACAGGAGGTGGAACTCAGGCAGTAATACTCAACAACTGCTCCAACCTCTTGCTGTGTGGCCAGTTGGAGATCCCTGCTTTAAACAGATATCCTAATAGCAATTGCTATTTTTGATGTTACTAACAATTAGTCTCTACGGTTTTAAAAGTCAAGATGAAATATCAATTCCAATTTTGGTTTTTACAATGTTTATTGGATGCACAAAAAAACTTAGGCAACATCATGATATATCAATTTAAATGAAATAATTTGGATACTTTCATTTTTCAGGATTTGAGCACATTAATTGTCTGCCCTGATTTTACTGATTCCTAATCCAGAGCAGTTAAATTTCAAAATCACAGTCATATATAGACTACCTGCCAAAAAAAAATCCCTGTCTTCTTAAATTTTTTTTTGTATTGGGCAAAATTTAGCCAAATACCTAGTTGCATTTCTCTTATATCGGGGGGCCTGTGTTGGACAATCATAGCACGCTGCTTTCAATGTGCTCAAATAATATATAGTCATTTCTGAGTAGGAAATAACCAAATTTAAATTTCTAGAGAAGGCAGGTCTGAATTGGGGCTTGATTTCTCATCTATGATCCTAAGACATTCTCCTGAAAGAATGACTGGATTCTTTAGAGAGATAAAAATATATCTTTTGCACAAAGACCGTTTTCAAAAATACATAAATGTCACAAAGTTTATTCCTGTGTATACACATTCAGGAGGTTTGGTGCTTGCATTTCACTACTCAAATGCCTTCACAAATCTTAGAACATTCCTCACCATCATGCAGGCCTGTGAACACATAACTTTTATCAATTAGGATGGCTAGTTGCAGAGATTTCATCTAGAAATCTTTTCCAAAATTGTAAAGACTGCTCTCTAATAACAGATATTCAGAATTCAGCCACAGCTTTCTTAGGAAGACAGATAAAATTATATTCTGCAATTATCTAGCTCATAAGCATAAAATAAATATTACAAAAATGATTGTATTTGCAAATGAAAGGTATTTAAATTATTTAAAATCCAGAAAGTTATTTCATTTAAAAAATAGAACTTCATAGAATACAAACAAACTATAAAAATACTTTAGCTGTCACTTAACATTTCATGGAAATTTTGATGTCTCATTTATATTCATTGTCTACAAATTGAATCAGCATCTTTCAGCTAAATTTATGAATTTTGTTTCTCCATTTCCATGCAAGGGAACACTTACATTTGAAAAGAGTAACAAACCATAACATCCAAGCAAATATTTGTGAGATAGTCAATATTTTACACAGTACATGTATAAAGTATAGACCCCCTACTTAGTCTTTGCACCACTTTGATTTTTAAAAAGTTATTAGTGAGGTAAATTTTCCATATTTTTTAAATCAGTGTATATTAGCTAAAGTGCAACACTCACAATCTTTTGTTTCAGCATATAAATTTGAATATTTACGTACCTTTTTTAAATAACAAAACATTTGAAGATGGTTCTTAACTATTTACTCCTGGGTATGCTTGATAAAAGTGTGTTATAGGAAGCATAATATATATTTACATAAACACACATTATATATACAGAAAGATGGGGAAACCCATAGCTGTATAAAAAATAATTATCTAGAAGTCATTTCATTAAGCTCACACCAGTGTACAAGTTCAGTCTGAATATTGCCCATTAGGCCTATAATATTCATACTCTGCTAAAAAAAAAAAATGGTTAGAGCTAAGCCCATAGGAAATGTATTATAAATAAAAGGCTTTAAAGTGATAATGGTCTACTTCCACTCATTAGAAAATTTGGGAACAGCTCTTTAAAAAATTCTACAAAATATTTTTAAAGAACATATTTTGAACAAGTCTCAAAGATGTATTTGAAATGAACCTCTTACCAAGGCAACCACATATGGTAAGTAGTATTTCTTTGAAAGGAAAAATATTTCACGTCTAAGACATCTCCAATATGATTCAACTCAGATACACTTTCAGGATATCTTCAAGGGTTTAGTTTTCTTGAATAAATTGAATGCTTTAGTGTTTTTCTACCCATTGAAAAGCTGAGAGATTATCTTTGGCTCTATTATTACCTTGGCAGTTCTTCTTTCTCAAAGAGTAATCATTGCTAAGATTTTCCGCTTGCATGAAGACATAGTATGTCACAAGACCATGAGTAAAATAAGCCCAAGAAAAATTCATGTTTTCTTGTAAAGTCTTAAATTTCTTAACTACAACCTGAGTCTGTTTTCCATTCTCTCAATTTGAAAGAAATCTTTAATCATCATCATTGCTTTTACTGTTGATGTAACTCCAACTGTTTCTTCTGTTTTCTTCTTGTAGGATAGATTTGTATTGTCTTTTAAAGAAGCCGGCCTGAAAAGTAGCATTACATAATCACTAGTGTATAGTTACGAACACTCTTATCTACTATACTCATTTCTAATATCTAAGCAGTTAACACCAATATTTCTTAAATTGTGTCCCTTATAACATCATAAAGGTTTTTTAACAGGTAATTAGTTGCGGACATACTGGGTTAAAAAAGCATTTGTTTTTAATGCAGAAATTCTCAGTGATATATGCCACATTCCTTCCAAAATTGATATTCAATGTAATTTGCAGTCTTTTAAAAGGAACGTCTTTCAAAACAAATTAAGAAGGCATATTTTTCTAGAAAGACTTTGGTGTCGAAGAGAAATGTGAGATCAGTACTGAGCAACATAAAAAATTAGCATTAAAATACTGAAATATTTAACTTGGAAGCCAGAAACTGGCTTTGAGAAAATAATGTCAGTTTGAGTAGTTTAACGCTGGTAATTCTTAAAAGCTTACCTTCCACATAACATACGAGATCAATAAAAGTACAATAAGTCCAAGTAGCAAGCTACTTGAAATAATCACTATGGTGAAATGACGTTTGGGTCTTTGATGATGTAGTCCTTCCAGTAGAACCTATATGAATTAAGAAAAAACTTAAAAAGCAAAAAACCCCCGACAGTTTAAAAACTTGCTTATGTTTCCTTTAAAGCCTTGCCATAATCCCCAATAATATTTAGAACCTCCCACCCCATTTTCTTGCTGGTTCTAATATAGCCACAGGAAACACTGGTAACTGTTTAGGAGAAACAGTGAGTATGATGGGCTCTATCCATGACTTTTCCTCTAATCTATCCAATACTCACTGCTGCCCAGTTCACCTCTCAAAGAACTGCTGTATCGTTCCCTCCTGCCAGTTGTGGAAAATCCCAACTCTCAATCAAGCATGGAAGGCCCTCCATGAGCTGGTCACACTCTACTTTCCCAACTCAGTTACTCAAAAGCAAATAATTATAGACAGATACCCTTGAAATGCGTTTTCCTATAATTTTAATGTAGCAGTTAAGAGGGTAATCTTACATGCGCAACGTTCTCATCCTTGTTTAGTTCAATAACTCTTGGATTTGGCTCTGGAAAAGCTGTTGCTTTTATTTCAAACTTGAGTGCTGAAGTCTCATCCTGTTTAATAATAGATCACCATAGCCTGATTTATTTCATGAAGACTATTAATAGAAATAATTTATCAGGATCTTTACCTTCTATTAGAGGTTTCCACAATTTATCTTCCCCAATTTACTTCAATACTTAAAATTAACTGCAGTGCTTCCTTTGGTTCCCAAAGTATGGTCTTGGTATTAATTTATATTGTATTTCATTGAAATCCTTTGGTTAAACATAGCTACCCTGCAAGTTACTAGTTACCAACGTTCTCCACCCTGCCACCGCATATTGAATCTATCTTGTTTGGGTTTTTTTCTTTCTTTCTACATTAAATACATATATAGAATTCAAATATAAAATCAGTGGATGAACTCAGAACTTTACTATCTAAAGCAAGGACTTTAAAACACCAAATCCATGGAGCTTGGAAATCTGTGGGTGTGCCTTACAAGTTCTAAGAATCTTCAGGAGATGTTTTCATGTCTGCATTTGCTGAGGGAGATGAGAATATATTCTTTATTCAGACTCTTTAAGAGGGATATGACCTTTAAAACTACTGTGCAAATGTGATTTAACATTTTAAAGCCGAAAATAAACGACAAGCTTCATACAGAGCTAGAGCAATGGTTCTCAGCAGGGAGGATTTTATCACCTAAGGGACAGTCAGGAATGTCTGAAGAAATTGTCAAGTGTCAGAATGTGAGAGGTGGTACTACCAGCGGTGAGTGTGCAGAGGCTGAGGATGCTAACAAATATCCTACAATGCACAGGATAGCCCCTGACAAAAACAACATCTGGTCCAAAATGCCAGTTATGGCCACTGAGGGGAAGCCTAGACCTAGAGAGAAAGAGAAGGTAAATTGCTAAAGGTTAAATTACTTCCTGATGGTCTAATGACTTCACTTTTAGCACAGTTGAAACTAGAATGGATATTTCTTCTTTGTCTGTCTAGTGTATCTTCATCTTAACTATTGTTTGGTAATTTCAAAAATCCCACTTTAAACATAACAGCTGCTACTTCCTTTGGCCTCCTTTGTGCCATAAACTATTACTGAGTGCTTATAAAAATCATCTCATTTATTCATATTGAACAGATGAGGAAGCTGAAAAGCAAAACTCCAGATAATGTTAGTTTTATCTCAAGCTATTCCTCAAATATACATGCTCCTTTCTAGGAAGAAGTCCAATATTTATTATTTTTAAAATTGAAATGTTTTTGTTGATGATTTCATGAAAGCTTTAGTTTTTCTTCTTAGATATATTTTTAAAATAAAAGACCTTCAATAAAATTCAACATCCCATCATCCTAAAAACTCTGAATAAACTAGGTATTGATGGAACATATCTCAAAATAATAAGCTATTTATGACAAACATAGCCAACATCATACTGAATGGGCAAAAACTAGAAGCATTCCCTTTGAAAACCAGCACAAGACGAGGATGCCCTCTTATCACTCCTATTCAACATAGAATTGAACATTCGGTCCAGGGCAATCAGGCAAGAGAAAGAAAGTGTATTCAAATAGAGAAGTCAAATTGTCTGTTTGCACATGACACGATTGTATATTTAGAAAACTCCATAGTCTCAGCCCCAAAACTCCTTAAGCTGACAAGCAACTTCAGCAAAGTCTCAAGATACAAAATCAATGTGCAAAAATCACAAGCATTCCTATATACCAACAATAGAAAAGCAGTCAAATCATGAGTGAATTCCCATTCACAATTGCTACGAAGAGAATAAAATACCTAGGAATACAACTTACAAGGGATGTGAAGGACCTCGTCAAGAGCTACAAATCACTGCTCAAGGAAATAACAGAGGACACAAACAAATGGAATAACATTGCATGCTCATGGATAGGAAGAATCAGCATGGTGAAAATGGCCATAATGCCCAAAGTAATTTAGAGATTCAATGCTATTCCATCAAGCTACCATAGACTTTCTTCACAAAATTAAAAAAAAAAAAAAACACAACACTTTGAATTCATATGGAACCAATAAAGAGCCTGTATAGCCAAGAAAATCCTAAGCAAAAATAAAGCTGAAGGCCTCACGCTACATGACTTCAAACTATCCTACAAGGCTACCGTAACCAAAACAGCATGATACTAGTACCAAAACAGATATATAGACCAATGGAACAGAATAGAGACCTCAAAAATAACACCATACATCATCTACAACCATCTGATCTTCTATAAACCTGACAAAAACAAGCAGTGGGGAAAGGATTACCTATTTAATAAATGGTGCTAAGAAAACTGGCTAGCCATATGCAGAAAACAGAAACTGGACCCTTCCTTCTACAAAAATTAACTCAAGATAAATTAAAGACTAAAATGTAAAACCCAAAACCATAAAAACCCTAGAAGAAAACCTAGGCAATACCATTCAGGACATGGTTAAAGACTTCATGCCTACAACACCAAAAGCAACTGCAACAAAAGCCAACATTGATAAATGTGATATAATTAAAAGGCTTCTGTACAGCAAAAGAAAGTATCAGAGTGAACAGGCAACCTGGGAGAACATTTTTGCAATCTACCCATCCCACAAAGATCTAATATCCCGAATCTACAGGAACTTAAATTTACAAGGAAAAAAAACATCAAAAAGTGGGTGAAGAATATGAACAGACACATCTCAAAAGAAGACATTTATGTGGCCAAAAAACATGAAAAAACACTCATCACTTGTCTTAGAGAAATGCACATCAAAACCATAATGAAACACTACCTCATGCCAGTTAGAATGGTGATTATTAAAAAGTCAGGAAACAGATGCTGGTGAGGCTGTGGAGAAATAGAAACACTACACTGTTGGTGTTAGTGTACATTAGTTCAACCATTGTGCAAGACAGTGTGGCAATTCCTCAAGGATCTAGAACCAGAAATAACCATTTGACCTAGCAATCCCATTACTGGGTATATACCCAAAGGATTATAAATCATTCTACTATAAAGACACATGCACATGTATGTTTATTGCGGCACTGTTCACAATAGCAAAGACTTGGAACCAGCCCAAATGCCCATCAGCAACAGACTTGAGAAAGAAAATGTGGCACATATACACCATGGAATACTATGCGTCTGTAAAAAAGAATGAGTTTATATCCTTTGCAGGGACATGGATGAAGCTGGGAGCCAACATTCTCAGCAAACTAACACAGGAACAGAAAACCACTGCATGTTCTCATTCCTAAGTGGGAGTTGAACAATGAGAACATATGGATACAGGTAGGGGAACATCACACACCTGGACCTGTTGGGGAGTGGGGGCGTGGTGAGGGGAGGGATAGCATTAGGACAAATACCTAATGCATGTGGGGATTAAAACCAAGATGACTGATAGGCACAGCAAACCACCATGGCACATATATACCTATGTAACAAACCTGCACATTCTGCACATGTATCCCAGAGCTTAAAACATGTATGTATATATACACATTAGATTTTAAACATAGTTTGAAGCAATTTGAAAATAATTTAAAGGTATATGAAATGTAAGGCAGTCAATTTATTGAATTTAATAAAGTTCATAGGCAGTTGTGCATGCTTTCTAAAATAAACATTTTAATTTTTCCATAGTCTATTTTAGTCCTTTTTTTTTTTTTTTTTTTCAAGACAGAGTATCACTCTGTTGCCCTGACTGGAGTGCAGTGGCATGATCTTGGCTCACTGCAGCCTCAGCCTCCAAGTGATTCTCATCCCTCAACCTCTGGAGTAGCTGGAACTATAGGCACAGGCCACTACACCTGGCTAATTTTTTTTTATTTTTGGTAGGGACAGGGTTTCACCATGTTAGCCAGGCTGGTCTTGAACCCCTGCCCTCCAGTGATTCTCCTCTCAAAGTGCTGGGATTACAGGTGTGAGCCATTGTGCCTGGCCTATTTTAATCTTTATTACCTGTTAATTACTAAAGCCATTCTACTTATTCAGTGTAGCTAAATGAAGTGTTAGAAATAGTTTTAGAGTTTTACTCCAAAATTTTATTTAAACCTTAATTTGTTGAATGCCTTCAAAGTATCCCGCCTATATGACTGAACCAAGTTGTCAATGTATTTTAGACTTACCATTTCTAAAATGGATGGCCGGCCTTCCAACTGGATATGAACACTGGCTTCTTTTCCACTTTCCATTTTCCCAAAATTACACAGGAAATTTAAACAATGTGGATCAGCTTTTATGCAGTACTTGAAAGGAATATTAAAGGGGTACATTAAAATTTTCGACATTGGAAAATATTTAAAAAATATTTTACATAGAATTTAATATATACTCTAATAGCATTTTGAAAATTATCTTTCTATAAATATGAAATTAAACATCTGCTTTCCTTAGTGGCATTTAAAAATTATCTTTAAACAAGACATGAATGTTTGTTTTATAAATTAAAGTATTTAAACTGGAGAATATGTTCTTATTTGTATTAAAAACCTTCTGGGACAGATTTTTTTTTAAAAAGGTTCCTAATCAGAGTCTTCCTAAGTTTCAGAGTCTTCCTAAGTTACATATTCTATGTTTGTTGTAAACATGGGTCATTTCAAGGTGATGATTGCTTATCCAGTTTCTTCTCATAAAGTCACTAAGATGAAAAGAATGAAAATTCTCATGCCACGAAGGTTTCCCAAGGGTCTGGAACAATGTCTTGTTGGCAAATAGTGAGCATTTGTTAGATAAAAAATGAAACTGTGTAATGTATAACATGTGCGCCTGTGTGTGTGTGTGTGTGTGTGTGTATTTATTTTTCTGAGATGGAGTCTTGCTCTGTCACCCAGGCTGGAGTGCAGCAATGCAATCTCGGCTCACTACAACCTCCACCTCCCGAGTAGCTGGGATTGCAGGCACCTGCCACCACACCCGACTGATCTTTTTACTTTTAGTAGAGACAGGGTTTCACCATATTAGCCAGGCTGGTTTCAAACTCGTGACCTTGTGATCACCCCACCTTGGCCTTCCAAAGTGCTGGGATTACAGGCATGAGCCACTGCACCCAGCCAACATATTTATATAGGGGATAGATCCTAGGTCTATCTCAACTCTTCAATTGTGTTTGTTCCTTTCATGCAAGAATACTAACTAAACTCGTCTTCTCTCTTATCATTGGAGTGACTGCTCAAACCCATTGACTTGATTTTAAGTGTCTCACTTCTCTGTCGAAAAGCAAGAGCTACAACCTAAAAAGTTGAGACTTACCAATAGCCTCTTATCAGTCTTGGAAAAGAACTGGAATATGCCTTTCAAGGCCTGCATTGTACTTTGTTGCTGCTCTAATGCACATTCTCTTTGATAATTTTCAAAGTGGCATTCTCCAGTAGTAGTCTATGAAGATAGAAAGCAAGAGAAATATTATCTTTCAACATTGGGGGGAAAAAAAAACAGCAAAAAGCAACATGGTTTTAAAAGTTCCAATAGCTTATCTTTACTAAAATAATCAAGTACTTCTGAAATTGTGGAATTTTTTGACATATTTGGGAGTGATTAAATGTCTGTGGCAAAAACACAAAAACCCAGCCCAATTACAGAGGGTTGGATAGAGGTTCTAAGCTGATAAAATGACCTTAACCTTACAGAAATGTGAAAAATGGTATCAGAACATTAGCATGAAACTAAATATTTATTTGTCTTTATAGGCAAAACAGCGTAACACCATATCCTTCTCTCTAAATCTGAAATTTAAGATTTTCAAAAATCACACCTCAAACCTATTTAGTAGATGTGTTGACTTGTATTCAAGCTGACAAGCTCAAAACAATGTTGATGGAATCATCAGTGCAAAAATATTGGTTCTTAAGAACTGGTTTGAATAATGCTCCCTTAAAAAAAAAGGCTATAATCTTCATCTTTGAATAGTGATTTCAAGTTCTGTGAAGAATTCTACCAATCAAGTTACTTCTACAGGTCCATATCACACAAAAATGACTCTTAAAATAATTATTCAATGGAGATGGTAGAACATAATTGTTATTGTATAAGTCAAATGTAAAAGTCACACTGTAATTCTGTAGTTCTAATGAAATGTATAATATTCAAAGCATAACTTAATAAATGCATGTGAATTCATAGCTTAGAGTGTGACTGAAGATAACAGTTATCCATTTCAGCATCATTACTTGAATAAAGAACTGGTTTGCATTTATTTTAGTATTTAAGACACATAATAAAGGTTAGGTGGAAGAAATAAATTTTTTACCTGGACATCCAAAATGTTGAACAGCTTATCAGGTTGGGGGCTAAAAGAATTTGGTACCATTATTTCCACACTAACATTGGGAGCCATGCTATTGCCAGTGTTGATAACCTGATAATAAGGAAAAAATTTTAACAAATTAAATTTTTTTATAAATGTAAGTACAGATATCAATGAGCTTTTAGGTGATCCCATATATTCCATGCAACATTTATACTGGTGGAGGTTTACAGTTGGCAGCTGCACAACAAAGGGAGACAGGATATCCACAGTTAGAATTTAAGGTATCAACGGTCAGAATTTTTAAAGTTTGCTAATAATTTCAAATGAGTCATTATTTCTAACCTTCTAGTTTTGGTATTGTTGAGACAAAAATATATAGGCTGATGGTTTATTGGAGAAACAGTCTTAGGAGATAAACAATATGTACATTTGTATGTTACATTACATATTTTAAAAATATGATCATTTGGTTTTCATGGGGTAGGCCAATATTTTACTATTCACCAGCTAAGGAAAATACTAACAGGTGTTCTTAGTGTTCCCAAGACAAAAGTTTAAAAATGGCAGGAGTTATGACCAAAACTCAGGATTTAATTCTAAATCCTATGATGCTATCACAAAATCACTCTGTGCTGAGAGGATAATCAGCAGGAAAAAGTGAATAAAAATGTATTTGTATTCAGGAACCACATTCAGAAAATTAGGAAAGAGTAGGTTGTTGGGTTTTGAGAAAGCACGACAGGTTTTTAACAATACTGTTCAAAAAATGCATGAGGATGATAAATCTGGGGATCGAAGATTCCTAAAAAAGGAAATGGGGCCAAAATATAGCCTACTGAACTGGCGGCTTAACTATAAAACCAACACAGTAAGTCAGAAAGAGATGCATCTGAATACCTCGATTAAAAAAGACTTGGCAGACCTGCAGTCATTTTTTGAATGCATGTGACATAGTGAAGAAAGTAAATGTCTCTAAATTGGGAACAGGTGGTAAATGCTAATCCATAAAAGCACAGGGCAGCTGCAGAAGGAAATGTCAGCAACAGATACCTAGCAGTGCCCAGTACTACGGACAAGGTCTTCTCGATGCCACTAAATATCTAAATTACAATCATCTCTGTTTGCCTAACAGCAATTAGACCTCTAAGAACAAATCTACATAGTTGGCTAGACACAGAAATCCTGTATACTGCAAGTTTCTCCAGTCCCAGTCACTGCAATATAAATTTAGTAGAAAATACTTAACTATTAATTATAAATTAATAAACATTCTAGAGCCCAGTTTGGTTTCTGTTTTAGTTTACCAAAGCACAAACTCCCATTGGGTTTTAAAGGGCATTTCTTGGGACTTAAAAGTAGAGGACTAAAAGTTTTCAAAATTAGTATTAACTAGTGAACAAAAACTGGGTTATATACATAGAATCAATAGGATTTCAAGGTCATCCTTTTTCCACAGATTTGGGGCAAGGCCCAGGAATTTGCATTTTGGATATGTAGCCCAAGTAATTCTAATACACATTTTGGAAAGCATTGTCTTACAAAATATTACACCTAATCCAAAATTCATTCACATCTATAGATTATTCTATAAGAATGCTTGGACAGTGCTTTTGGTTCAAAGAATATATATTTTTGAAATTATTTACTAATCAACATCTTTGATACCACAAAAATATCAGTTTGACATTAAAATTGTTTTTATTATACTTTAGGTTCTGGGGTATATGTGCGGATCATGCAGGATTGTTGCATAGATACACACATGGCAATGTGGTTTGCTGCCTTCATCCCCCTGTCACCTACATCTGGCATTTCTCCAAAAATGTTTTTAAAAACTTAGGTTTACATCAGTCTCCTAATACTTCTGAATAATGATAGTACCCTCTGCTTTAAAAGTTATTTAATAATTGATAAAGCACTTATCACAGGTCATAAACTTATGGCTTGAAAGGCTGACCTACGTGACCTTAAATGGAGATGGGCGGTGAAAGCCTGCTTTACTTTGTAGTGTTAAGGCTTTTATAAGGTTTGAACCAAGAAGAAATTTCACTGATTTGCACTCAAAGATGCCTTCCATTGGCTTGTCCTGTTATCTGTATACATCTCTAGCAAATTCAGCTCATCCCATAACTTTGCCTGTTTCAAGCATTATCTCTGTTACTGCATGCCTTTCTCACTTGTCCTGTAAGGGGATATGGGCTTGAATACCAGTGACAAGATAAGTAGAAGGAAAGCAGTGGGGGTCTGAGAGGCAGGAAATGTCCCTGCTGCAGCCCCACTCCAGCCAGCCATAGTCTACAGGGGCTGAGGGACATTATAGTGTACAGTGTCCCTTGGGGAAATGCATCAGTGACATCCTTTTAGGTTTTTACAAATATCCACACAATTAGCTTTTCTTACATGGAAAGTTAAGTTCATTTTCTCCACCATGCACGTTTCCGGCTCATTTTCATCATTTGATCCATACACAAATGAAGTTGGGTTTACAAACCTGGTGGAAACAAATTCAAATGTAATTAACTGTCTTATTCAATGACGTGTTATAAAGAGTCTTTTTCTATAGATGGGATTATATCATATTTACAAGGCACCATGAAATACTTTTGGTTTTATGGCCATATATAGATTATATTTAAAAAGAAATTAAATTAGAAGGCCATGTGCTCTGACCTGGGTGACAATATCTGTCCTCACTAATATTCTTTTCTTGCCTTTCATAACACTACACGTTGTTCATTCTACTGACCATTCCTTCTCTTTCAGCCCTTAAGTGATTCATTTAAATTTGGCAAATGTGGGATAAATTATTGGCTTTTTCCTAGGGCTCTTATACCTCAATTTATGCTACCCATTTTGAAGTCATTTCTTTCCATCTCATGATCCCTGCTGGCTGCTTATAAAGAACCCCAAGTCTGGGGAACAAGTCTAACACTGTTAAGTATGATAGATTTTTTGTTAGAATACAAGACTGTCATTCCTTAGGCCTGTGATTCGACATTTTTATCTGCAATAAACTTTAAGAAACATGTTTCTATGGAGACCTCCACTCCATAAGGTGCTCACATTTGGCAGCTAATATTAGGTAATCCCAAATTAGAAACCCATGCAACAGGAAAGAAATCAAATTTAAATAGCATAGATTTAGCAGTTCAATAGGTGAACATCACTTGTTCAAAATAATGAGATGTGAGTAACAGAAAAACAGGAAGGCACTCATAAGCCAGGAGGAGTGGCAAGATAAAAGCTGAATATCCAGAAAACATGCAATGAACTTTTATTTGTTTACTCGTGATTCTCTAGGTCTTATTCTCCTGTGAATGGCTTTTTTTCCCTCCTCCTGTTGGCATTATCTCACAAAGTTGACACTCAATTCCATCAGCTTCAGACACTGACAATTTACATTTACATGGCTGTATATCACCTAAGTGGATAAAATGACTGGGGGATGGTTTAGATTTAGAGCAACAGTAAAGGCTCATCTGTCTATTTGTTCTGTAACTCATATATTTTATTGTGTAAAAATGTAGTTTTAAAGACTAGCAGAATGAATAAGTTCCAGTGGAATTACTGAAGATTTTCATAAGCCCCTTTCTTTCTCTACACATTTCCTTGAATGAGAAGGGGATCAACTCAATCATTAAAATAACAAGGAAGCAATGAATTCTGATACTTGGGCTGTGGTTGAGGAACTTGATGATCCCATAGTTATAAAAAGAGGACAAGAGACACTTTGCAGCCAGATCCCTCACATCTCAATCTATTTGCCACATATGTAGATATGGGACTGCAGAATAGTGATTTGGGCAAGTTCACACTTCTCTGAAATTCAGACTTCACATGGGCATTGAGTATGATTGTGCAAGCTGCACATTGCTTAATTCTAGGTGTCCATGTATGGCATAGTGCACAACTGAAGTCTCACTGTGGCCTTGCTAGCTTATTGGGGCTCTCCCAGTAAGAAATCTCCTCCAGCTGGGCACTAGTTTGGTGTAGTATCAGTGATGATTACAGAGTGGATTATTATAATGGACAGCTAAGCAAAGGACCATAACAACAAGATAATTATTAAGAGAAACAGTATAGTATCCTTTCTTTAAAAAATCTAGAATACAGGTTTTTCATTAAGAAGCAATGAAACTGAAAATCAGCTCTAAATTTGGAAGGAGGCCTTTCTGTCTACTTACCCATGAACACTGAGCGTAACCTCGTATTTTAAAGGTATTGCTACAGTCACTCTGTTATGCTTCAGATTGTCCACTTCCCCTTCATTTTCACTACACAAATAGAAAACACGCTGTTAGAATTCACCAAGCAGAAAAACCATCTTTAGAGGGAACTAATTACATACCCTCTATACCTAATATACTCAGAGGTTTGTTTAAATGCTCGTTGGGGAGTGGGGATAAAAGCAGATGTGGCAGTCAAAAAATTTTAGGACAAGGTTGGCAGAAAATTTCTTTCAGCATTTAAACTGTTATCATTTGCTTCTAATGCTAGATAGAGGAGCTTGTTGTGGTTGTTTGGTTTTTTAAAAAATAGACCATGCAAGAGAAGTCTTCTCTTACAATTAATGGAACACAGTTTCATGGTTTTCCTAATTTTCTCCCCAAAATATGGGGGTACATTTCTTCTAGTACTTTTTTTTTTAAACGATAAATTATACCAGGTAGCATGCACTGTGATACTGAGGTCCTCGTCTGCTCTGCTGAGTGAGCTCACATCCAGGAGAAAGCTAATATCTATCTGTAAAACACAGAACAGGAAAGTCCATTAAAAAAATCTTAAGTACATTTTTTATCATCTGAAATTTTTTTCTTAAAAGTTTTTGTTCTATGGAATGTAGAATTGAACCTATTCTAGAGGCATTGGCTACTTCTCAACTGGCAGTAAGATTTAGGGAAGTTGCTGGGTTTGAGGTAATTTTAGAGTACATGCATTTCCACAAGTAACATTCAGAGACAAAGCCTTCTCCGAATGTGAATGCAGGCAAGTCCAGACTGACAAAATTGGAAATGCTTTCACAACTTGAGCAAAGACTCTTGCCAAAAACACCTTTTTGTATAGCAAAGGTAACATGCCTGGCAGACAGGACCACCTGGGGTGGGGGTGGGGGTGGGGGGTGTTGGGAAAGGGTGTGTAGGGGGAGAATTCTGATTGACACATGCACAGCCCCCCCCCCTTTAAAACAGTGAACATTGCCAAAATTATAAACACAAAGCTCAGAGATTTCAAGAACCAGTTTTATTTCATCACTCAGCTACCTCCTTTAAGCTAAAATATATATAATATTTTATATGCAACATAAAGATAGGGAAGTATAAAAAATATTCATGATAGTGAACAAAAGCCAAAAATGTGAAACACTTACCCTTGAGAGATGATCTACATATATATAGCCAATAGTGCAGTCAAGTTGTACCATGCCAGAGTTATCTGTGACTTCACAGTTTATTTGTTTCTCTTCCTGATGGGAAAAATGAAACAACTGGCTTGGACAGGAAGGAAATAAAAAGTTTGTAACATATGTTTAAGGATGATTATTGAAAAGAATAACATCCCAGAAGTATTTGTTTTCCTAGGGAAACTATTTTCTATTTATGTTGGAGATTAATAGAAATATAAATAAATGATACATAAATGTGTTTGTATATGCAGACAGGTATACCGTAGTATTCAAACAGATTCTCCACAGAAAAATTTCTGGACTTGTTTTATTCATCTTGGTATATTCCCTATTTAATCCAAGGTCTAAATTCCTTGAAGAATCATGAGGTGAGGAATCTATTAGGTTCATATTTTAATGGCCCTCTTCTGTCTGGTATGTGAGAATGTCTTTAACGTATTTAATCAAAATAGCTATAATCTCAATAGGTGTAATGAGGTTATAATTGCAGCAAGTATAAAATGTTTTAAAAATACAGTCCCTGAATATTTGAGTTTCCACTCTTACTTTTGCAAGTAGGTTTCAAATGCTCTACAGAAAGAAGGTAGTAGATATTTGTGAGAGGTTGAGGGTCACTTTTGATGTGAAGGTTCCTGAACAAGAGATGAGTGAATTTGATAAGGGATAGAGAAGATTCCATTAATTGTCTGAATGTAACCTTAAAATAAAGAACAGTAACTCTGGAGCCCAGCATGAAGGACCAACGTTACTTGTTCAAGGACCACAATCAAGGGGCATACATCATCACTGTTCCGACATCAGACATGTGCTGGCTACAGCAGTGAGAATGTAAAAGCCCCCAGGCAGCTTCCTCCTACTCCTAGCACTGGAAAACAGGTTAATGCCTTTGGATTTAAGACCCAAGAACTTGCCATTCTGAGCAGGGGCACGGAGGAAGTCTGAAAATAATTAAGAGCCTAAACATTAAGACTTATACCCCAAATCAATGAAGTGAATTCTACCATTTACTTTAAAAAAATAAAATGCTAAGTACTATAAACAGTACTTACCAGCTCTAAAATCTTAATGAAGTAAAGACCCATGGGTAGTGTGACATGTAGAGTAGTTTCATATGCATCATCTCCAGCATTAAACAAGGACACATTCAACATTAATGTCTTCATACTCCCAACAGCAATATGGGTTTTATTTTCATGGGGCCTAAAGATTAAGTAATATTATTTAGTTCTTGTTTAGGAAATAAACATCCCTCTCTCTCTCTGCATATATGTACACAAGCATATATATATATATATATATATATATATATATATATGAAATTTATGCTGAACATAGCTTACTAAGTTGGAAAAACAATTATGGGATTGACCCTATGCAAGATGTAAACTCGTATTAAAAAGAATTCTTTCTCATGTTTTTGGTAAATTCAGTCACCCAAGGAAAGTTTTTTAGCTATAATTAAACTGGTGTATTTTCTTACTTCTTTTCTGCTTAACCTGTCGCTTCTGTAATTTTAACATTTTCCTTATTATTTTACAACGTTTTTTAAAGGCAAATCATTTTTTCTTTTCTTATAAGCCTAAAATAGACATTGAATCAGCTGCTACCTGAACCAAGAGAAGAAAATGGGCAGAACTGGTAGAAAAGGAGAAGACTAGAAGGAATGCTTGGTACAAGTGAGCAAGGCATGAGGAAGAACAACTACATCTCCCAGCAAGTGCATGGCACTAAAATCTGTTGGACTAGAATTAAATTCTGAAGCAGCTGGTCACCTTCATCAATAACCAGGCCAAATTAGAACTGGAGAAATGCTTCATCCTCCTGTGTATTACAAAGTATAGATTACTGCAAATCCACACATATGCGTGAGTTCAAGTCCTGGCACCACCAGCAGTTGTTCTGGGTGGGAAGTAATTTAGCATTTTTAAGCGTCAGTCATCTGATCCCATACTACCTACCATTCAGTGAAGATCTGGGTTATGTATACTGTATGAAATCCTTAGAATATTTTAAATATGAAGTATTTGAGGCATAAGGAACTTATTCAAAGGCCACAGCTAGAATGTTCTATAGTCTTGAAACAATTTCAAATTTCTACACAGTTCATCCTTTTCCCATTGAGAGGGTTAGAACAGCTAGGTGCTAAGGAAAACTTTCAGTTACAGCATGTTATTTTATTAACTTTTCCCAAAGACAGAAGTTCTTAAATACCTAGTAATTTAAAATCTGGAAAAATTAGCTCAAAGTAGAGAAGTATGTGACCCAAAGCAAAATATCCAGTGAGGATAAAAAAAAATATATGTATATTCACCTAGCACTGCAGAATTTAGAAAGTTTCTTCAATAATGTTTAAATTGTGCCATTCGAATCAACATTTGTATAGAAGGTTAGTGTTTGAATAAACTATGGAACTACTAAAGATACAGCAGGAATTTAGTTTTTGTGAATTGATTAAAGATAGAGTATGTAAGGTCAGAGTTCAAGAACATGTTTAACAATTTCTGCTTTTAAGTATTACTTGAAGATTCATGAATGACTGAATATAACTGAAAGTTTCTGTACAATAAATCAGACACTAAGTTCATTGTTCCCAAATACAAACACACTTCACTCCTTCCTACAGCTAATAAGGGACAGATGTATAAATAAATGCAAAAAAAAAATACATAAGTGAGCAAAAGTTATGCACAGAGGGCTCTGGGAAACCAGGAAAGGAAACAATTTTTGCCTGCAGTAGTAAAGACATGATACTTTTCCTTTTCTACTACAATGGTTATTTAAATTGGCTGCCTCAAGAAAGATTTTTAAGTCTGAAAATATCATGATTGAATCTAAAATAACTTGGATTGGGTTCCTAATTGATTTCTCTGTCTCAAGTCCTTCTCTTCTCCTTTAATCCAATCTTCACACTGCCACACTGCCAGAGGGACATTTTCAAGAAAGCAAATTAGGTAATGGTAAGTGTCTGTTTAGTACCTTACATTACTTTCAAGATAGGAGTTCTAAATCCATAGCATGACACAGAGGCCGTCCAGAGTTGGCCCCTGCTTCACTTTCACTGCACAATTTATTCTTTTGTTTCAGTCATATTTATCTACAAACAGGCATCTAATACACCAGGATGTTTTGTGTCTTTCTTCAAGCTAGCTCTCCGACATCAACATCTCCTCCTCATGCATCTGATTTGTACTTATTCTTCAAGATTTAGCTTAGATGTCAATAATTCTTAGCTGGGTTCCAGCCAAAACTCACTGTTAACCACCTTCACCCTGCACTGCTTTCCCCTAACAGTGTAAGGTGGCAGCTTTTCCCTCTCCCAAAGCATACTGGGCAATATTTTCACAATGTCAAGTTTCTATCTGGTTTCTCTCACCACTAGACTAATTTGTTGTGGGGAGAAGATGCTGGATCATGATTAACATGCTTTCTCAGAGCCTAACAACACAGTGTTCAAAAAATATATGCAGGTATGTACATGTCTGTATTAAACATAAAGAAGGATTTGGTGGTGTCCAAGCAACATGTCAGACAAAACTGGGGAAGTTAACGGATAAGTTATTGACGGCAGAAGTCTACCAAAGAAGCAATATAAATACCATCACCTTATAGCCTTAAGCCATGTTTATCTGTTCTGTGATGGTATACAAATTCCAAATGTCTCACTAAGAAAGTAAATATCTAGCATTACGTTGTGATCTGTACCACATCTAGACAATCTAACGTTTTAGCGGTGATAAAACCGAATTGACCTATAAATTAATGGTATCATATGACCATGACAAAATCAAAACTGGAAGTGTGGTATGGTTTTTGAGAATTATTTTTATAAACCTCAGAATATGCAAATAAAATAATTTGGGACACTTTTCCCACTTTTATAACTCTAGTAATATAACTTCTAAGCAACTGGGCACTTTAATGCTTGATAGTTCTTTTTTCTGTTTTAAACATCAGAATACATGCACAGAAAAATGCACATATCCTAATTGTACAGCTCAGTTTTTTTAAAAATAAGATGAAAACATGTGTTAAACTAGCACCCAGATCAAGGAAAATAATAAGAGCAGCATCACTGAAAAACTCTTTGGGCTTTTTCCTTCCTGTTATTGGCCCCACCCTCCTTGATTTTTAATCATCTGAATTGGTTTTGCTCAGTTTTGTATTTTATATAAATGTAACATAATCTTTGAGTATTTGAGTATGTAATTTTTGGGAATCTGTTCTTTTGCATGGCTCCTTTTATTCAAAATTTTGTGAGATTAACATATTGATACTTGTAGTGGTAAAACGTTTATTATCATTGGTGAATACAGTCTATTTTATGAATATGCCACATCTTATTTATCCTTTCAGTTATCCATGGGACTTTGGACAATTTCCATTTTTGAAACTATTGCAGTTTTTTGGTGGACATACATATGTAATTCCACAGGCCATATACATATTTATATTTATTTGTATGTTTCTACGAGCAGATTCTTATAATTTTTCTACCCAGGATTAATTCCTTAAAATCTCTGAATCTTGACTTACTTTGACAACCAGTCTAAATTATTCTGAAAAATTATATTTAAAAAACAAAACATACTATAAGGAACTATTTTTAAATAAAAAAAAATATTTTAGAATGTCCATATACAAAGCAAGCATACCGTAGAGCAGAGATCTGTAAACCACCACCTGAAGGCCATGTCTGCCTACTTTAGAAAATAAAGTTCTATTAGAACACAGCCATGTGTCTGCACTACAGTGACAGAGCTGGTAGTTGGGATAGAGATCTCTGTCTCACAAAGACTCAAATATGTACTATCTGTCCCTTCACAGAAAAGGGATGCAGGCTCTTGTTATAAAGCAATCTGATTAATGAGTAAATTAATTACAAAATAAACATTTATTACCATATTTACTTTAGATCTATTTTGTACTATTCTGACTATGGTAGAAGCTTCATTTTATGGGATGGCATAGGATGCAGTTCTTTACTCCAAGAAGCCATATAGAATTAGAGAAAATTATCTCTCAGTCCTCATAACTCCCCCAGACATGGAGAAGAAAGGAAAGAACACTTGCATATGTATCATCTCTACGTTGGGATCCTTGATTTGAGCAGCTGGATATCCTGGAAGAATGTGTAATAACTAACAAAGCAGTAATTCTGAACCCTGGGCACCATTGCAGGGTGGAGGAGTCTGACTCAGTGACAGTGTGCTACCGCAACATTTTAGGGAATGGCTGTGATTTACTCGTGCCTGTGTTGTAAACCTTGGGGTTAAGTAGTACACATCTGCTTGGTGGCACCATTAAATGGGAGAGAGGAAATGTGTGGGGACATGGCTGTCCTAATTCCCTGTCCCCCAACTCTGTAATCATATTAGAAAAAGGAACCTACGAGGTTCTAAAAGTAAACTTTAGTTAGACATTAAAGTTTAATTAAGACTTGTAGAAGAGCTGCCCAGAAATAGACATTTATAAAATATTCTGGCTTGTAACCAAAGCATTAGTCACTGAACACCTTTGGGAAAGAAGTTGGCACTTAGACAAGCAACAGAAGGTGAAAGCACTGCATAAACAGCTAGGTTCCAAGACAACAGCAAATTAAAGAGAAACACAATGTTCACATTACAGCAGCTAGACTCCTGGTTTATTTTCCATTTTTAAGCTATTTTGCCACATTACCATAATTACAATTCTACTCTTTTTTTCTCCCAAATATACATCTTACTGTGAATTGATTCATTAACGAGATGCTCTCAGAAAGATACCTACCAGCTTCCTATGTGAGACATAATAAAGAACCAGGTGCACATCTGGAAGTGCGACAAGACTGAACCAGAGCTGTCCCCAGGACTCATAGTTCATTCTTCATTAAAACATGCATAACGCAGACCTGAAATTTACAAAGCAGCCTAGAATCCATGTAGCTTAAACAAATCAAGGTACCGTGTACGTACAGAATCATAACTTAATAAGTGACAGAGGAAAAATAGAAAAATGATGTACTGCAGCACCAAGCTCTGTGTGTTTTCTGAGTGAATAATACCGTTTTATTTCACAAGAAATGCTCCTCAAGTCTTAGTATAATGAATTCACTTTGTCTCCCTAAAATGAATTATGACTTGATAGCTAACTTGTTTTTAATCAAGATGCTAGAATAAAATATAATGTAAACTGATTCCATACTACACTATGTCAAGACACAC